CTTACAAACCAATGATCAATTACCACTTCTCAATAGGGAAAAAAATGACTGATGACCATATATTTTGGAGACAACTTTTAATAGTAAATGTCATGACTAGATAGGCACTTTATATATGGTACAAGCTTCAGAACTTGGGACTTTAAATAAAATACAATGTCACTTTCCCCATAATCATGAACACATAAGTGCCCAATCTTCTCCAAACTTCTTGGTGACTCAGTCCTAATATGATACCTTTTAGAATTGAGTAGCTTAATTTGTAATGCAGACTTGAATTTTAATTGAGCTACATTTGCATCTGTTGAAAACATGGTAATTAGGTATGTCTTAATTGCAGAATGACTGTGCTTCACTAAAGAGAAATAAGCAGCTTCATGCTTTACCTTCATTACAAAAAGAATCTTGAAGGTACCTGTCTTTATAGGTGATCGCATGGAAGAAGAGCTGAAAGTTCAATGCACAGAGCAGGTTAAAACAGGCAGAAATTTTAGAAATAGGCATTTCTATTTGTTTGGGAGGAGATAATCATCTTCCTTTGTTCAGGCTCTCTGAAAAAGGAAAGCAAATAATATGTAAAGAGCAGAACTAAAGTGGAAAACATCAAAATTTATGTGGCATTTAGATAGTAAATTATCTAAATGTAAGCATACGATTAGTTTTTGCATTATAATTTACTATATGAACACAGTACATCAAGTCATTTACTGATGTATCACTATTTACTTTTCTTAGTTAAATATTCTTCACATGAGTATTTTGTATTTTCTTAGATTAAGGGAATAAGAATATTTCACAGCCATTTTTTATAGAGCAGTACTACAAGTACAATGATTGGCTTTAAAACTTACAGCCAAACTAATGTATCAGTGACTTTGAGTATATATAATTTCAAATATTAAGCATATGCAACCAATTTCTTTGAGCTTTTATAAATCACATAATTTTTGCACAGGGACATGATATAGTGAGAAATTCTTATTGTTAGCTCTCCAATAATTTCTAAGTTCGAAGCATATATAGTGTGATACTTTAAAGGAACATCTTATGTTTGTACATATGAAGCTCCATATTGCTAAATATTTTTAATTAGTTGGCATTCAGTTGGACTAGTTAGATCAGTATACCCCCAATAGAGTTCCATTGATGATATAGTATCTAAATTAGAATGTTCAGAACAAGCATAAAGAATTCTCAGATGTGCAAGTATCATTTTAAACATCCACTTGCTTGGGGCAGTAAAGTGAGGTAGGAGTTTTCATTTTATAAAATGAGGTTACAAAGCCCAAAGTTACTAAATGATTTAATACTTTCTCGTTTCATCCAATTTAGAAAATAAGTTGCATTACATACACCAGAAAATTATTGTGAATTTGAAAAGAATTGGCAAACAACACAACTTCAGCATATAGTGAGTTGTGAAGGCAATGCATTTATTCTGTTACTGAGCCAAGAGCAGACATATGCCCCTTGAACTTCCGCCAAAACTATTAGGCAGAAAACTCACAGAATTGCTACTGATATTTCCATTCATGATTTATGATAATGGTTGCTGTGGATGACTAAGTCATTTACATTTATTGAGCTCCTGTTTTTGTTTATAGTTGCAGACATTGTAAAGGCTCATAAAACCCATCAGATGATACATAAAGCACTAACAATAAGAGGATAAAATTAGTCGAGGAACTGATTCGAGGTAAACCAAGCACAATGGGTAGTGCAGTCCTGGTATTACTATTGTTGGGTTGTGGTTAGGCTTATCAGACCTGAATAGAGGAGAGGAGCAGGTATGTTCTAAAGACAGGCGGATGGTGGTATGCAGAAACTAGATAAAAACACATTTAGAACTTGTTGGCCAGTTATACCAGTTGTCTTTCATTTCAGTAGGCATTCCTTTGCAGCTGTAATTTTCCTGATAGTCCTTTTTAGAGGAGCTTACATAATGGAAGACAGACATGCATAAGATGTTATAGGAGAAGTGCAATAATAGAAGTGTAAGAGCCATTCAAATGTAAATAAAAAACTGATTCCATGAAGAAACTGTAGAACATTCACTAGCCTCTGTAAAGCTTATTTGAGTATACAAGTAGATCTATGTTTTTGGAACTTCTGAAAATATTACCTTGAATTTGAGGTCATGCCCAAAAGGGTTGATACCATGGTCTCCAAGCAGTTAGGACAAAGCCATGTTTGCTTAAGCTATATTTGCATTCTTTCATGGAGCTCTCATTTAAAAAAAACAAACAACTACACATAATTAACAAGCCTCTGGGCCAGCTGGCCAGGTTATTCTTTCCCTGCTCTGTGTAGAGCACATGAAATGACTGCTTTAATTCAGAATTATTTGTATAGCTTTGCATTCTCCCTATGTCCAACTGAAAGTATGGGCTTACTCTAACCCATTTATTAATATTATTACTATTATTTATTGCTATTATAATGACTTATTATCATCACAATTACTATTCGTATATTAATAAGAAGGGAAATAATCACATTTTCAGAGCCCCCATATCTTTTGGAGGAGGAAGGTGGGTTATTATTAGATAACCTGAATATGGGAGGAGGCCAGCCTTTCTAAAGTTATTTCTTTTACTAGTCTAGAGTCCACAGTACACATTTGATCTTTCTGAGTGATTTCATCGATCTGAGCTACAAGTCACAAGCATTAAATGACCACACAGGATTGACAATAAGGTTTTAAAATGCAGTGCTTACTCCTGGAACTATCTTCTGGGCAGACTGTGTGGTGACTGGATGACAGATTACCCGGATCCATGCTGTGTGAAGCGTGGAATTGAGCAGTCACAAGCAGAGTTGATCAAAGAACTAAATAAAGGTCTTGCTGAAGTACAACTGTGCAGTGAGGTCACAGTGAATGTAGCAGCCTCAGATTGTGAGGAAACCACTTCCAAATGGAAGAAGGTAGACTGAACGACCTCCAGAGAACCTTCCAGATTTAGACAATAATGCTCTTACTCTCCGGCTGTACCTAGGGCATGACCTCCTGGGATAAAAATACATTGACTCATGTATGTAATCAAATGTGTCAAGAAAAAGAATTCTGAACTTTTTTTTTTTTTGCTAAATACCTGGCATCTTTACAGAAAAACAGAGCCATCTTATCACCACTGTGCCCTCATTTAATAATTTCTTTTCTGATATTGAGGGTTTTAATAGCAAATGCCTAATACTGATCAGCATTGTCTTTGCTGATTTCATATCCTTGCTACAATTTACTGGTAATTCAAGTGCTCCTTGGCTGGTAGACAGGCAAGACAGGACTTTACTTAAAGATAAATTAACTTAGTTTGGAGGTTAGTTCTTGCAAAAGATTGAGTTGAAGCCTGACTAGCCTATTTGGTTCTATATACTAGAACCTCAGAAACACTCAGAAACACATACTTAATTTGTTGACTCTGGAAAGAAATGACTTTGGAAATGTAGGGAATAGTCTGAAGCTCTCATAATTTTTATTGTATCTGGAAGAACAATTTTATATGACCAACTTCAGAACAGGTTCATGTGGACATTTGTGCGTCTTAATAGAGAAATTCCTAAAATTCTTTCAGTAAGTAGAAGCTTTATATAGTTGCTTGTGAGTCTTTCAGTGAAAACCACCATTTGGAGCATTGGAAGTACCCTTGGACTACATGTTTGAAGTGTTAACAAATGGAACATTCTTATCACTAGTTTTTATCTGTAAAGATGGAAGGATTGTAGTATTGATTTACTGGTTTTCATGACTCCATCTGCCTCTGTTCAGCTGCCATTGTGACCTGGGTATATAAAATGTGGAGCAGTAGAATACAGTGTGTATAATAGTGGCATTACTTTCGATGTGGGCCTAATGCAGTAATCCTATAAAATCATGTTCCAGTAGCCAGGAGGATCTTTTGCAGCTACAAACCCCATAATCCACTTGTGTGTGCACAGATCATACCTTGACACACCAAAATACCTGGAGAGAGAAGTCCTCATGCTGATTTTGGTGAGGGGTATAGTTTAGCATATTGAGGAACCAGACTATATCTTCACTATCATTAACCAAGAAGAAAAACTGTGTGGAGAGGGCTGTGTGTTCCCTTTCTTTTCATTTTGCACACACAAAGCTCATGGTCCTGAAGGGTACATGCTGCATGAGGAAGTATCACCACTTCTCCTGCAGTACACACTTGCTGGAAAGGGCCTTAATGTCAATATTGCATCCACTCCCTCTCGTCCTTGGTGCTTAAACCAGGTTTTTAGACTCCAGGCTCAAAGTTAGGTACATCCACTTGCCCCCATATGCCACATAAAAAGGCACGGTAAAAAACAGAGAAAAGAGATGTATGGCATGGCAGCCATAGGAAGACAGCACTTAGTATACATCGGCCATCTTCAGAGGTGTAGACATTGGCTTCAGGTTAAATAGGGAGAATTAAGGGCAGGGAATGAGAAAGGGCAGTTACAACAGTACCAGTCACAGGTGTGTGGCCTCTGGGGTCATTATCTCAGTCTTTGGAGGAGTTTCAGAGAAGTTATCACTTTGTTACTGGAAGAGAGCAGGAACAAGATGGTTTCCTGAGTTGGGGGCTGAGTTTAAGATGTTAAGAAGAAGGAATTTCCAGTGTCAGGGGGAAGTTTGCCTTTCACATAAGGTGTTTATCAATGCATTTTTATCTGTTCTGCAAACAAGGTGACTGCAAAGAGGCTGCAGCTGAAAATAGTTCAGATCAAAGGGCACAGATACATAGTTGGGGGACCCAGTGACAGCACCTTTTACTTACTTTTTACAAAGCCCACTCCCTGTGGGCTAACCTCTGTGGGTAGGAGTCACGACACACTTACTACACAGCCCCTTCTTGTCTTCCTCATTATTAAATAGCACTGCTGTCCATACCCAGGGCAGGGCCCTTCTGCTGTTGAAAGTGTGGAACAGTAGAGTCCTTGTGTCTTTTAGTGTCTTGACTTAGTTGCTGTGACTCCCGGTAATCCTTATCTTTCTTTTCTCTTTCAAGTGGAAGAAGACACAGAAGAAAGTTCAAGATCAGGACGAGAATCTGTATCCACAGCCAGTGACCAGCCTTCTCTGGAGAGACAGATGAATGGGAACCAAGAGAAAGGGGACAAGGCTGATAGGAAAAAGGACAAAACTGGAAAAGAGAAGAAAAAAGACAGAGAGAAAGAAAAGGATAAAATGAAAGCTAAGAAGGGAATGCTGAAAGGCTTAGGAGACATGTTCAGGTAAGTCCTTGCTTTCATAAACCTCATTGTTATGTGCCATTCCCTGTGGGATATGTTCTGTTTTTAGGGGACTTCTTTATTGGGTAAACATTAAAGAATATATTTCCACGGACCTAAATGTAGTATATACTCTCAATGTGTATGGTCCATACTGAAATGCTGCTTTGTGCCACATGGCCCTTATAAGTGATGGTGAGCTTAATAAAAGCAGTAAACTGCATTTGACATCATTGTCTATCTTTGGGGGCAACCAAAATTCTCTTAGCTATTGCATGTTTACTTTCTTCAGGATTTCACTTTAGTTATCTCAGATCATTTCAGCAGTCTTGAAGAGGATACTTTGCCAAGCATGTAAATAGCAAAGAGATGAAGGAGGGCCTGTGTGTCTTCTTCTGCCTGAGTGTAAAAACCCAGGAGACAAAGGGCTATGCAAGCTGTGTTTGTTCTTTTTTGTGTGTGGGAACAATGGCTCATTATTTAAATTTAACACAGAACTCAAGTTAGTGGTAGCATTTAAAGGTTCATTAATAACAAGTCTAATAAAAAATGTTACAGATAGAGCTTCAATTAAGCTGTGTTGATTAATTTAATACTTATTACTTCAGTCTGTAAAGATTTCATTAAACACAGTCTCTGGCTGTTCCTTGACAGTTGTTTTTGTGTCCCTAAATTATACTCTAGGATTACTTAGCATTATCATTTTTTACAAATCACTGCTATACAATAAAAGTGACAAGTTGTTCAGAAGTTGCACTGAAACTCCCCCATAAATGTTCGTCTAAAGTGATTTATAATATTCAAGCATTTAATGTTAAATATAACAATTGCTTAATTGTTCTATAAATTAAAACCCTAAACATATCAAGATGATGGTTTAAAATTAAAAACATACAGCTCAGCCCCTTGACTTTTCCAAAAGTAGTTATCTTGCAATATGAATCCTTCCCTTTTAACTTGTTTTTAATTACAAAATGTGAACAAGAGTTTTTATTTTAATAGAATCTCTTGGTTTATGATCCTTAGGTTGACCTCAATAACTCAGGGCATTATAGATATGTCAGGCCTGGAAAGTTGAGGAATCGCAGCCAGCCTACAGGCTACACAACACAGCAGATATGTTACATAGATGTCTAGTTGAGTCAAGGGCAAGCAAGAAGGAAACTAGAGACTTCCACTAGCATAGCTAGCCAATTAGTAATATAATACCATGCTTAGTTGAAATGGAATTGTACTGCTGTCTCCCCCAGCTTTAGAACTTTAGAATTGTCCCAGTTTTTCATTTGAGTTTCTCTTGTTTATATACTACTTACGAATACATTTCAGTCAGATCAACTTTCTTCATTATATTTCTTGTCCAAAAAATATTTACAGGACAAAATTGGTCAATTGCTTTTTTCAGCTCCTGTGTTAACCAAGGGTCTTTTCATTCCATATATGCAATATGACAGCTCATAAACTGGTATCCACACAAGGCACAAAAATAAAGCTGCTGCCCATCATTTGGGATTTAAGGAATTTGTACTACTCTCCTCTTTAAATAAGAGAGTAAGAGGAAACCTCTTGACATGTGGCCTTGTCCCATTTCCAGAGGCTTCTGACATCTTATTGAAAATGAATAGCCTATTTATTTTCACTCACCAGACAATATTTCTCTGATAGATACAGGGTTTTGTTCTTGATATGGAATAACATAAACTTAGAGTAGTTTGGAATTTTATTAATTTCAAATTATCTTTGCAAATTGTAACTCCAGTATTAGAGTTTTCTGGTTGGGGTGTGTGTATATATCTATACACAAATGTATATTTAGATATGTATGTACACCTATATGTGTATGTTTGTCTATGCATGTATGTATATGTATACACTTTTGTGCCAGTCCTTGGACTTGAACTCAGAGCCTGGGCACTATCCCTAAGCTTTTGTGCTCAAGGCTAGAGCTTTACTACTTCTGTTTTGCTTCTGGTTTTTTGGTAGTTAATTGGAGATAGGTGACTCATAGACTTGCCTGTCCAGGATCATTTTGAATTGCAATCTTCAGATCTCAGCCTCCTGAGTAGCTAGCCCCTAAAGAGGAGCACATTACAATCCTCTTTCTGCTAAAGGTCCTGCAAAACATGACATATATTTCAACTATATAACTTGTAATGAAAGCCACCTTTGTGATAGAGCACTCAACACATTTTTAACATCAAAAGCCTGCATGCTTTTGAAAATTGAATTGTGCATTCAGATGTAGGAACCGAAGCTTTTAGTTTTTTATTTGTTTGTTGTTGTTGTTGTTAATTAAACTCCTGTTCTCCCAGTATTTAAGAATGACTAGTAATAATTTTACGAACACCTGCTCTTTTCTGGTGTGTCTGGAAAACTTTACGGGGTTTGTTGAAGTTAGATTGTATTAGCATATATGGACCAATGGTCCAAACCAGTTCTTCGACTCAGCCATGGTTAAAAATTAAATATTTATATAAAAATCAAAGGTAACAAGTAGCCAGAATTAATCACTTTCTAATTATGCCCCTGTGTTATGATCCCTACTTCTGAGAAGAAGGATGCTTGGATTTGTATACTATTCTAAGTACAGCGAGTGAATAGCTCTGCAAAGCAATTCCCTGCTCCAAGTTTATTGTCACAATGGCAGCTTAACATTGGCTATGCTGGGAGTATTTACCCCTTGAAAGTCTACAAAACCTAGAGACAGACCTGATCTCTCTCTGGGTGGTGGAGGGTGTTAATGTGTCTTTGGGCAGAAGCACTATATCTTATGCTTGTATCTTTGGACATGGCTATATGCTATCTGATTAAAAACTACTTGTGCTCAGCCCTTCAGAGTTGAAGTTACCAAATATTGCTGCTTAAAAATGAGTGAAGTATATGATCTCTTAAACATAAAGTAAATGTTTACAAAAAAAAAACAATCTATTGCATCTCAATCCTTTTTTCACATTTTCATTATATATCATTAGTATTTGAGAATCATTGTTGGAATAAAAATCTTAGACATCTTGTATACCTACTGCATCTAATTATTTAAGCCTAATAAATTCTCAGGTTGGTTCTTATATCTTTTCTTCCTTTTCAAATAGCATAAGGGAAATATGGTAAGATTTTAAAATTAGTTTCTTCTTTTCTCTTTGTTCTTTTGAAGAGGCTGGCTGTGATTTCCTGAGCCATTTTGCTTTGAAATAGCCTAACCAAAATTTGTGTGTGCATATACATTTCTCAGTGCAGTGCAGTTTCAAGTAGAACAGGTCAGCATAGGCCTGAAGTACAAAGAAACTGTACATCTTTATGTATTTTGTTTGTTTCTATTTTATGGTTAAATAATGAAAAGACTAAGAGGAAAGAGCATTAGATACTCACAGTCCAGCTTTTTCAGTAAATGTTGCAGCACAAAACCTTTTTCTCTGTAGTCTAATTGAAGTAATACATTTTCCTTCAAAGAGAGTATCACAAGCTCTCCTACCCACCATTCTGTTTTCCCTGACACACATGCAGACATGTGTACATGCTTGTGCATGTGCGCATACACACACACACACACACACAGACACACACACACACACACACACACATAGTTGTAACCCTACAGGTATGACATTTTTTGTTAAAATACATTTGAGAGCCACACAAAGACACTATATTTCAAAAACATACTAGAGGAAGTTGATGGTACACTGAATAGAAATTTCAACTTCTTGCCTGTTATATAGACCACAGGGTTTTTTGAATGGTATTCACAAAATGTCTTAATTATTGCTTGAGGAAAGATGAAAATCATGTGTACCCATCTTCTTCTTGTGAATTATGAAGTGTATAAAGAGCAAAAGTTACTTTCATGGAAAATTTAAATTGCAAATTTATATGTTTAAGGAATCAAATCACATATGTAAAGTGTCTGTGTTTATATTAATTACTCTTACATATAAGAGTATATAAGGATTCTTCTTTGGCACATATGTAGCTCATCCTGCCTTAATGAAAATGGCTTTGGTCCAGGCACCAATGGCTCACTCCTGTAATCCTAGCTACTCAGGAGGCTGATATCAGTATCCCAGTTTGCAGCCAGCCAGGCAGACAAATCCAAGAGACTCTTACCTCCAGTTAACCTGAACAAAGGTGGAAGAAGAGGTATGACTCAAAATAGTAGAGCAATAGTTGAGTGAAAACACCAAAGCCCTGACTTCAAGCTTCAGTACGCAGAAAAGAAAAAAAAAAAGAAAGGAAAGACAGAAAGATAGAAAAAAAGAAAGAACAAAAGAAAGAGAAAAGAAAAATAGAGGAAGATAGTATGGCTTTGTATCAACCAAGCCTGGGCGAAGTACTTCCACACAGACAAACCTGACCTAAAATGTGACCATTCTGGTTATAAAGCGCAGAAGGAGGAGGGTCTAAAATTTTGAGGCTTTGCACATGCTTCATTCTCAGATGCCTGATGATTCCAATTTTTCACTCTAAAATGTTGTCATATCTCTGCAACACTAGGAGGTAAAGAGGGAACACAATGCGTCCAAGGAGATAAATTGGTTGCTTACTAGTGAAAACACGTGCTCTTTGAAAGAAAGCAACAGCATTTGTGAACAACATATTTTGGCCTCAATTTTCATCTCCAAATAGAAATTCCCAACAAAATCACAAAATCCTGTCTTCTCATATATTAAGAACTTTATGTCCTCCTCTTGTTTCAGATTTGGAATAAGTGCAATCTGAGATAAGTAGAACTAGTGTCGGTTCTGTTGAAAATTCTGTGTGCCACCAAACTGAAGGTTCCTAGAAAGAACCATGCTGTTCATGCTTCAGATTTCTTTCTTTCGATTTGTTTTGTTTTGTTTTGTGATAGGGTCCTGCTGTGTAGCCCGGACTGGGAGTGCAGGTGTGTGCCAACATGCCTGCCTGAACTTTATTTCTTGCTATTGTCCATATATGATTACTGAGAGCTTATCACTGTGGAAAGCTAGAACAAAAGTAATATTGCAATAATACCATTAGAACTGAATTTT